TTCTCCATTGACGAAAATCACAAAACCGTCAACCCTCTCATTTCTATGCCTCAAATAACACTAAAATCGCCTAAAAGTCACCCGAAAATCGCCCCATCTGTCCAATGTTTAAAAATTTGGGGGTGAGCTCGTAAATGTATTCAGAATATTTGGGGTGAACTCGATTTATGAGGGTGAAGAATCGCGTCATGGAGAAGAGAAGAATCGTTGCATTTTTTTTTCAATTGGGAGAGAAGAACTCGATTTTTATGAATATTATGGAGCAAAAAACATGGTGATAAAATCCTATTTTTTCAATTGGTACTAAACTTTATGTTTGGTTAATTTGTTCGCATATGATGTGCCAAAAACATGGTGAGGAGTTTAAAAGGTTGAGTGTCACACAAGTCCCATTAGTACGACGTAAAATTTCTAATAGAACACATCAACAAGGATTGGTCGAAAAATAGTTTTGAGACAAAATTTGCAACACATAATAAATATTTGATATAAAAAAATTGAGTTTTGTTTACAATTACAAAAAATGTGAAATTTTTATGCACAATTAAGCCTAATATCAAACCTCAAAAGTTTGGTATTAAATTCTAACAGCTTTAGGTTTGGAAACTTGGACGCACGTAATATTTTCAAACCGTTTGAAAAACTATAAATTATAAAATAAAAAAAAATAAAAAATAAAAAAATAAAAAAGAAAAACAAAAAGAGAACAAGTATTGTGCGTGTACCATAAAACNCTTGTGCATCCAGCTATTTTAAATAAATGATGAATCTATATCTATTGTATATAATAAAAATAACTATTTCTAAAAGATAGTAGCAAAACAAAAAAGTCAGAATTTCATGCAGCCTATAAATAGTAAGTTTTATTATTTTTTTATTTTTTTGTTTAAAAAATTATACAAAATTAAATGCTGCATTAAATTTCGGGCTTTAGATAATTTTATTATTTAAAAAATCCGGCTAAGATCTATTAGGTTTGCATGTTTTCAATTTTATTTTTTTTCGTATAAACAACAAACAACATTAGAATTTCGATATTTATATTTATAAAATCTCAATTCAAAATATAAAAAAAATTTCAGAATCCCGGTCTTTATATTTGTGCCTTCAAATAAAAATATTGAAAGCTAAAAATAATCTTTAAATTGCATAATTAATTAATTAATTTAACTTATTTAAAAATTACTATGTTTATTTTTTTATGAATATGCATAAAGTAAAAATAAGTAATTTGTCTTTAGATATATAATTTATAATCTTAATATACTATCATTTGACCAGTTTGACCATATCAAATCGATTATTGAAGCTAAATACAAATTTTAATATTGAAAATACTTTATTACGTAAATGTGATGTAGTCCAAACTTCAAATAATCATATTAACAATACTTTTATGACAACATGTTAAATGATTTATGAATATTTATATATTATTTTATTAATATTTATGTGAATAAAATAATATTTCTTATAATTTTTATTAATGTACAGTAAATATAAGGTTTTCAGAACCGGACCGTCATCGAAACAATCAAGTTATTTTTTTTAATCATTTGTGGTTTGTTCGATTTTAATTTATAAATATTTTAATATACATATATATATATATATATTACTTTTTGCAATAAATTTAAATGAAATGTATTACTTAAATATCTATAAAATTTATATATTCAAATGTTTAAACTAATTGATAAACAATTTATCAATCTCTATTTTATTTAAATTTGTAATTTTATTTAAAATAATTTTAAATGTACCAAAATTTATTTAGGAAATCGTATCGTTCCTACCGGTCCACCCAATTGGTGTTGACGGATTCGACAGCAAATATTTTATTTAAGCGAACTAGACTGGTTATATATCGGTTCTCGGTCCATCCGGTCGGACTGTGTCAAACCCAATTTAATTTAAAAATAATGGGTAAATCATGATTAATGTTATTTATATATTTAATTTATAATAGAATCGTAATATTGTTTTTCTGTGCATCGCACAGGCCACACACTCGTATGCATTATCAAAGTTCCAATTATCAATTTTTTTTCTTAATTTAATATGAATTAAATTTACACAAAAATTATTAATTCCTTTTAAGATTAATTATAAATTTATTGTTACAAATTTCATATGTAAAGTTAGAAAGTGTATCATCAACTTATACACGACCTTGTTGAGCATATTTTGAATGAACTTAAATAGTAGTATTTGATAAATTCATATTTGAAATTATTATAAGGTTTATGTGCAATAAAATATACTTTTATTATTTCTTTATTCATAATTATAAAGTACATAAAAATATTTAGTTATAATAATAACAATAATAATAATAATAATAATAATAATAATAATTTAAAATATACTTTAGTGGCTAGCCTGGTTTGCATTTTACAACCATGAAATTAGATGCATTTAATAGGCTGTAAAAATTAACAAACTTTTTATTGTAATTATTTGCTAGTATTTTTTTTATATTATTTACTTATTTATAAATTTTTTTGCGACAACCAGTGTTGTCACCTCAAAAGAAAAAGGCTAAAAAAACTTGGATATGTGTGTCTTGTGATGCACATCTATCTTATAATTATATGATGATTTTTAGCTTTTTTGTACAAAAATAATATATATGTACTATATAATTAGGTTGAAGAAAAACTCAAGCAAAAAATACCAAAGAATACCTCTTGTTTTAGCTTGCATGTCAATTGACAGAAACTTAGAATTTTTCAACTTTAATATGCCTAATTCTTCTAAAGATAATAACCCATCTTCATAAATTCTTGCTATAGTCGAAACATACCTCTCACATCGGCCAATCCCAGAATGCAATAGCAATCCCAATTTCAAAAATTTCCATATCAATTGATACCTTCTTTTCCCAACCAAGCCTCTGAACAACATTCTCAGTATATGTCGTCAATAACATACCAATATAATATGTCAAACTCATTTGGCATGCCTTTTCAACAAAATAGTATCATGCCAATTAATGTACGTCTGGCCTCCGACCGACTAAAAATTCGCTCGCCTTCATCTTTCTCGCTGGTAGATCGCCGAGTACCTGTAAAGAACACTCTCACCAGAGGGATTTTCCGGTGAAGAGTCTCCAATGCTTAAGTTAATATCCTTCTAAACTCAATTCCCAAGAGTATAGTAATGGAAATCGTCTGTAAATCATAAGGCTCACCCGGATGATCTGAGGTGGCTGCCAAAAGCTGCCCAGCCTACTCGGTCGTACAACATACACTAGAGGTGTGTCAGAGACAAAATGCTATATGGACCAATCAAGTCATGCCAGGCGTCCTCCGCACGTGGAGGTTTGATTCCTCTAAAATCTCCTCGAAGGCTCTCATGTTTGACTAGGTCTAGGTCGATCGACTGATTTCTCCGAGTCTGTGAAATGGTCGATCAGACGACCGTTTGGGCTGCAAGTCGGTCTTCGACTATACCCTTCATGGGTCTGGGACCGACCTGTTCTCCCTGTATCGAATCTCTCTTTAGGTTATCTTCCTATTCAGCAGCTCTTGTTCCTGTGATATTCGACCACGGCCACCCCTTTCGCTATTCGTTCGACTAGTTTGCTAGATTGGTTCATTCGACCAGTTTACTCATTTAGGTATATAATCTCATATCATCTAGTCCCCCCCACTCTGGTCGATTCCGAATGACTCGATCAAAGAGTAGGTTTTTATCCATCCACCAATTGTCATTGTGGTCGCTACTTATCGACCACTTGATCAATGTTCTCTTTCTCTTCGACCATTTTTCCTTTCGACCGCCATTTTGAATTTCAACATTTGAAACCGCCACCTGTCCTGCCAATCGCTTTTCCTGTCAAGCGTCAATCATAACTTCGTAACCCATGCCCATTCGTACTTCGCGCCCATTAAGTTTTTTTTCTTGAGATAGTCGTTGTATCAACACCTTTAATCCAACGGTCACCAAACCAGCGCTTGCTCCACTATCCTCTTAATCGAGACCCTTCAATCAGCCTCGATCCAACAGCTAAAACCTAGCTGCCTCTTCACCTTCATTCTCTATAAATACCCCCGACATAACACTTAAAAGGTTTTCCACTTTTGCAAATTTTTGTGCTCTAATTTGCTAAGGTCTTCTTCTTTTTTCGGCAATCGAGTTCTCCAAAGCTTTCGGCAACTTTGGATTTTCAGACTTCTCCAGCGACCACTCCATTGTTCATGATGAGTAAGTTCTTCTTTTTTCACTCTTCCTTATTTTTTATTTTAATTTTTCTATTTCAAATTGTTCTCAGAGTTTTTCTCCCAATTCATCTTTGCCCACAATTCTCATATTCTCCTCTTTCCCACAAACCCTGAAAAGTCTTATTTTTTGATGTTTTTCTCGTTTATTTTTTCAAATTCTGCTACTTCCAGTGAAAATGACCATCATTCCGACTTGGAGTTTGGACCTGAAAATTTTATAGCTTCCTCATCATGATAAAAGAAACCTAGTCTCAAAAAATCAAACCAAAAGGACGGACCAATCATTCAATACAAATTTTCAAAGAAATATGGCATAAAGAGCATGCTTCTGATCAGGTAGCTACATATTGAATTTAAATCTGAAATTTTAATACAAAATACCTCATAATAACATGAGACAACCCTCAAAATTTCAGATCAAAATAACAAGTGTACAATTTTTATGGAACTTTTAAACAACCTGAGCATATATAGGCTTTAATTGACATCAAAGGGTTCAATTGGACTCAAACTCGAACTAGGGCTTCAAGAACAGCCTCTAGACACACCAAGAGTTCCAATTTCATAAATTTTCCACAAAAGATCAGAGATCTAATCATTTACACAATGATTCAAATAGATCTCAACATACTTAGATTCAAATAAATATTAAGGGTTCTACTCAAAAATCAGTATTAACACATATATAAAGGAGGGATCAACCATCCATTATCGTACTTCAACGAATCTACATGCAAGGGATCAAATCGAGTAGAGGAGGGTGCACCTCTGCGGCTATCGCTTGGCTCGGCTCATGCGCTTGCGGTTTGGATCGTGCGGGTTGTTCGTGATCGGCCAGAGGGCAGCGATCGGGCTGGCTGCTCGTGTATCGTCGCTGGGGTTGATGTACCGTTGATGAAGGATTTGGGACGGCTGGTGATGCAAGATGGATGGCAAGCAGCGTGGCTGACGGGGCTTGCGCTTGCGGTGGCAGCGACTAGGATCGCCAAGAAGACAAGAGTGGGTGGAGGCAATGGGTTTGGGACTTTGTTGCAGGTTTTTCTATTGTGAAAAGAGAGTGTGAGGGAGAGTATAATTGTTTTGAAAATTCTAAGGGAGGGAGAGAGCTGTAGCGTGTAAAATTAAGGCAAAAGAGATGTGGGAAAATCTTCTTTAATGCTTGGAAATCAAGAGATGCAATTATACAATTGAAGTGAATAAGATTTCAATCGGGCTCCTTCAACTCGGACAGCCACCGGACCTGTAAGAACCCAACTCCGGGAGGAGTCCCGGCGTCGGGCCTCCGACGCTCAAGTCAGTATGACTCAAAATCCCAAGAGTATAATTATGAATAGAGAGAGAGTGTGTGAGAGAATGAGATACCTTAGCCCCCTTTTATAGGGGAAGTGTACGTTATGGCCCAAGTTGGGCTTGTCCAATAGCATCATGCAACATGTCCTAGCCATGTGTAGGCTTATTCTTTAATATATTTTCTTTTTATCGATTACAACTGGTCTAGTATATATTATCCTATATCATCTAGTCCCCCCACTCTGGTCGAGTAAGAATGACTCGATCCAAGAGAGAAATTCCTCTTCGGGCTGTTTCCGTCAATCTGCCACTGAGGTTATAATTTGAATAAATTATTGACCACCAAATAGTCAACAAACCTCCAAATGAGCATCGAGACCCCAAATGAACACCGAATGACCACTAAGGTCAAAAACCGAAAGACCCACCACTAGGGTAGAACATCAAAAGCCGAACGACCACTCAGGTCGAAAACCGAGAGACCCGCCACTAGGGTTGAACACCGAAAGGTGATTGACCACTGAGGTCGAAAATCGAGAGACCCGCCACTGGGGTTGAATACCGAGAGACCCGCCGTTGGGGTCGAACACCGAAAGCCAAACAACAACTAAGGTCGAAAACCGGGAGACCCGCCACTGGGGTCGAATACCGAAAGTAGAACAACCACTCAGGTAAAAAACCGAGTGACCCACCACTGGGGTCGAATACCGAAAGCTGATCGACCACTGAGGTCCAAAACCGAATGACCCGCTACTGGGGTCGAACTTTAGTTCCTAGAGCGGATTTCTATGCTCCTCATTTTGCAATGTCGACTTTCTTTTGCTCTCTGCCGATCTGCTTACTTTGGTAGATTTTCTCGATCTCTTCACGACATCTTGAATTTGAAAATTTGAACTCACGTCTATTGTTTCTTGACCACCATGTTCGAGCTCTCTTCATTCAAAGATAAACCTTTCCTACCACCTCGTCCTATCATCGCCCCCTCAGTTCAAAATTTTAAATTCAACCCTACTGTTTATCCTCTCAAAAACTGAATGTCCTGACACCACACTGAAATCGAAAGCTGAATTCGACAAAACCAAAATCAGGTAAAAATCAATGACCTGCCACCGAGGTCCTCGAATAGTCTCCATGAATTGCACCAAATGAACTTCCTCGACCTGCCACCGAGGTCGAAAAATAAATTCGACAAAACCATAATGAAGTAAAAATCATCGACCTGTCACCGAGGTCGTCGAATAATCTCCATGAATTGCACCAAATGAACTCCCTCGAACTGCCACTGAGGTCGAAAAATAAATTCGACAAAACCACAATCAAGTAAAAACCATCGATCTGCATAACCTGACTCCGTGAACTAATTCAGGTGAACTCCATCCACCTGCCAATGAGGCCGAAAAACAATTTCGACAAGGTCATAACCATACACCAAATCAGGTAAAAACAATCGACCTGCTTCTGAGGTCTCCAATAAGCTCCATATCTTCAACGACCCAATACTAGGATCGACCACCCAGCCCGAAGGCCTTAGTCATTGTGGATTTTTGTCTTCGAACACATGTCCACTCTCAAAGGAGTGGTCGTTACATGCGACCACCCAGCCCGGAGGCCTTAGTCATGGTGGAATTTTTTTCTTTGACCACTTGCCCACCCCAAGGGATGTTCCAAAAACATGGCGGTCGTCCGGCCTGGAGGCGTGGACTTTTTCGACCACCTGCCCACCCCAAGGAATGTACCCAAAACAAGCGACCACCCAGCCCAGAGGCCTTAGTCATGGTGGATTTTTGTCTTCAAACAAATGTCCACTCTCAAAGGAGTGGTCGTTACATGCGACCACCCAGCCCGGAGGCCTTAGTAATGGTGGATTTTTGTCTTTGAATTCATGTCCACCCTTAAAGGAGTGGTCGTTACATGCGACCACCATGCCCGGAGGCCTTAGTCATGGTGGATTTTTGTCTTCGAACACATATCCACCCTCAAAGGAGTGGTCGTTACATGCGACCACCCAGCCCGGAGGCCTTAGTCATGGTGGATTTTTGTCTTCGAACACATGTCCACTCTCAAAGGAGTGGTCTTTACATGCGACCACCCAGCCCGGAAGCCTTAGTCATGGTGGATTTTTTTCTTCGAACACATGTCCACTCTCAAAGGAGTGGTCGTTACATGCAACCACCCAGCTCAGAGGCCTTAGTCATGGTGGATTTTTTTCTTCGACCACATGTCCACCCTCAAAGGAGTGGTCGTTACATGCGACCACCCAGCCCGGAGGCCTTAGTCATGGTGGTTTTTTTTCTTCGACCACTTGCCCACCCCAAGGGATGTTTCAAAAATATTGCGGTCATCCAGCCCGGAGGCGATGGACTTTTTCGACCACCTGCCCACCCCAAGGAATGTACCGAAAACAAGCGACGATCTAGCCCAAAGGCCTTAGTCATGGTGGATTTTTTTCTTCGAACACTTCCCCACCCCAAGGGATGTTCCAAAAACATGGCGGTTGTCCAGCCCGGAGGCGTGGACTTTTTCGACCACCAGCCCATCCCAAGGAATGTACCGAAAACAAGTGACCATTCTGCCCGGAGGCCTTAGTCATGGTGGATTTTTTTCTTCCTAACTGCTTGTACACTTCGACCTGCCACTGAGGTCGATAAGAAAACATACCAAACACCACGAGATAGAATAGTAATTGATCATTTTCGTTAGTCTTATCAAATGCATAGTTATATCGAACAAGATATAAAAATAAACAAAATCAAGTATTTTTTCGACCTCTCTTTCCTGTTTGTACACGACTACCTGAGTTGTTGTTCGCTCCATGCTTTCCATTCCTCACCATAATCAATATCAGTTCACCTGCTCATGCATTTCCTCCGCAAGAATTCAACAGATTCCATTAGTTGCGTTTTATCCACATCATCCGATTTGCAATCCCGATGGCAATAATAACAAAAGAAGAATAAGTCAAAGCAATCATATTGGTCCAAATTCATTTACACCACACCTCAATTTACATGCAAGTCTCTATCACGGTATGAAATCGCATAAACACCCATTGAAATGTACAGTCGATCAGAATATCACAAAGCCATGAATTCAACAAACAGTTACAACAAACCATACTCTGCAGCTACAAGCAATCATTAAACGAATGCACCAAACAAAAATTCGAATGAATTATTCTCAATACCGAGCTCCTTAGTCATGACGACTCAAGACTGGCCAGCCGAAGGCCTTAGTCATGCCAGAGTTTTGTTTGAGACTCCACGTACACCTCATATTCTCTATTTTGTTAGTCACACGAATAATAATGTTATATCCATATGCATCATAGTATCAGCAACATTTCACCGAAAATATTCAAACAATGAACATTTCTCCTAAAAAAGAATGGTAAGAGACTCCACATGTCACAAAATAGTGTCAGTCTATCTTGACCATCAACAAGAGATGGGACTAACTTTATACCTGAAGGTCGAGAATGCCACTCCCAATTATCCTACCTCTCCAAAAGAGAATGATTTCTGCCTCTGAGGTTGCCACCTGTGATCGGCACCATCTAGACTCGTCCCTCCTTATCACCTTGCTTTTATGGCTTTGTGTTCGCTCATTATGTCCTCGAAACTCCACAACTCGTCCACCATACCTTGTCGGGACTCCGGTTATTTCGATGTTTCCTCGACAAGAATTGAAAGAGATACCATTATCTACATTATACTCATGTCATCTATTTTGCAATTCTCCACGTAAGAAAAACAAGAGATCAAATACAAACATCACCATCTCCTCGATTTAAGAAATGCTCGAGCAATGACATGCTTAGAAATTATGAATAGTCAATTCAACAAAATTTCACACTTTCACATGAAAATCCAATGAGATGTTCCGAGTACATCAATATATCAGATCATATAATTTTAATCCATCTGCTCGAGCCCATCAATAAATGCTCAAAATACACAATAAGCACTATCACAAAATTTCCTCAACTTGGAATCACGAATTCCACGATCAAATCACATAATTTTCCTCGAACAAAACAAGTTTTCCCATGAATCGATCAAATAATACTCCACGAATAAATTCAATAATGCTACACAAATAAATCAAATAATCCTCACGAATATATCTAATAGCCTCCATGAATAAATCAAAAAGTCTCCATGAATATATCATTTATTCCCCACAAATTAATCAAATATCTCCTCGAACGAATCAAATAATATCTCCACGGATAACTCAAATAATCTCCTCAAATAATCAAATTAATATCTCGAGCAAATCAAATAATTCTCCTCTGAGAAATCGAATTATTCCACGAACAAATCACATAATGCTCCTCAATAAATCCAATAATACTCCTCAATAAACCAACTATCTTCATGAATAAATCAAATAAGCTTCATATATAAATCAAATGGCAAAATTTCAAAATTGGTCCTATAACTTGGTCACTGTCCAGAAAACCACCCTGATATTGATCACTTTCAATTTAGGTCCTATAATTTGTCGATTTCATCAATTTTGGTTCTTTTTATCACGTTTCATTAAGGCATGGTGCCAAAACAGGCAATGAGTGAAGACCGTTCACATAATTTGGAAAAGAAAAACATGGTTCATTGAACATACCAAAACATATGACTAAACGAGTTCAAGGTTACATGCCACAATAACAAGAGTTCGTTCAACACATCTACTTCAACACAAAAGGAAATCACATGTAAATCGACGAAGGCGGCGCGGCATCCTCCTACTCGAGGGTCTTCTCCACCTCCTTTGCAGCGACGTCTGTAGCGGCCTCTACGGCTGACTCCCACCAAGGATGGGTCACAAGGAGAGACTCGTCGCCATTCCAATCCACTGGGTTAGGGAGGCCTCTCCTTAACTTCCTAGCATCCACGGAAAAAGTGAAGCCTTGGGTCTTCGCTTCGGCTTGGGTCCACTCGACTCCCTCCTAGAAATACTGAAGGCAGGACGTGACAACCTGATGGAGAAAAGTCGTTGAGTCATGGTAACGCGACAGCAGCTCGGCACGGTAGCACTTGAGGAAGCGACCTCTGAGATCCAAGGACAGAAAAGAATCTCGGCCTTTTTCATGGGCCTGGGTAACGCGCTCGTTGACTTACTGTTGAAGCGCCTTCAGCTCGGCGTTCTTGGCTTCTAGTGCCACTTGAAGCTTTTCCTTCTCGGCCTTCTCTTGAGCGAGGGCCTGCTTGAGGGTAGCAAGTCGATCATCCCTCTTGGCCACCTCGTTCTTCAACTCTTCCACCTCGTCGTAGTCGCCATCTAAAGCCTCGCTGAGGATGGGAGCTAAGCCAGCCATGGCCTATTTAAGGAAGTAAAGGTTGTCTCACATTAACTTCGTGTTATTAAGGTCTAAGGCATAAAGTTAAGTCATGGGTTTATACCTGACTAAGGTGGTACATAGTGTCATGAGCTCACTTCTGCTTGGTTGGCCATTTGGTTGTCTCACGTTTGGGGAAGATGGAGAGGAAGTAGGAGTTTATCTCCGATGTGTCTTTGTTGCTAGCGAAGTGATTCGGCTTGGAGATGGTATCCTTCTTACCTTGGGTGGTGGCTTTGTGCTTTTTTGTAAAGTCCGCGGAGGGTTGCTTGCGATAGCGTTGCTGGGAGGTGACCTTGCTGGTGTCCCCAGGGCGGGTCGCCTGCTGCGGCGGCTGGTCGGTGGCCATCAGGACCTCGTCGGCAATGATGGAAGCCGGCTGGGTCTCGTTGGGGACGACGGTAGCTTTCGGGACCTTAGCGGAGGCGACGTTTGCCATAAGCTCGTCTACAAGACAAGAGACAGGAAGCAATAGAACATGAGCATTACATTTATATAAAACGGAACGTAATGTTATGAAAAGGGAAGTGGGAGTGTGGTAGTCGCCCACGGCACCAAGTGCCTACCTATGTCATCCACGGGGTTAGTGGCACATATGGACAGTCGGAAATGTCGAAAAAGTCGGTCATGGGAGGTGAGCTTCACCACGTGGAGCGGGTAATCATTCCACTGGCGGATGAGGGTGTCATATTCAGTGTTCCGCCTTGGGTTCTTGCGCTGGCCTAGTAGCTCGAAAAGCCAATCGGAGGGAAGGTCGAAGGTATCGGGATGGGGACGTACAAAGAAAATTTGGTTCTCCAGTTATGAATTTTTTATTTTGGTTAGTCTAAGAAACAGACCTTGTTGCGGCGCATAAGATAGAGTGTGTTGTTCCATTTGAGACATAAGCAGTAGAGACATAGCTTGGGATCCAGTTTGCCGAGGCGGGCTCGACATACCATGATAAAGCCAACAAGGAGGCATATCATGTTGGGAGGAAATTGGTTCAAAGGTAAGTTATACAATTGGCTCAATTGGAGTAAGTCGGGATGTAAAGGGAATCGTAGCCGACATTCACTTGGTCTTGAAAGAAGCTATAACAGTTGGATGGGGGATTCTCGTAGGAGTTGTCGGGTCGTGGAACTCTAAGTTCCCAACCTCGGGGCAACTCCATTTGTTTGACAAGCAAGGCTATTTGGGTATTCGAGTAGGAGGAGATCGGGTTGGAGGATATGGCTCGGGAGCGGGTAACACCCTCTTTTGTAGTATAAGAGGTAGGCGCATTGGAGTTCGTGGACGTCGAGGCCGGGAGAGCTATGGCAATGGAGGGTGATCCTAAGGGTGAAGAATGTGAAGTACAAGGAGAGGTGGAGCTTGTATTACTCGTAGAGGTAGAGCTAGTGTTGCTCGTCGAAGTATAGCTAGTGTTACTCGTATGGGTGGATTTTTCTAAGGTGTACGTAGGAAAAATAACGATCGAAATACATAGGACAAGCAAGGAGTACGACATAAACAAAAGAGATAAAACTAAAATGCAAGCATGTGAAGTAGTGCACTACAAAAAAAAATTATGACAAATAAAGTATTGAAAAGAGGACGGCGTACCCATGAAGCTTGCTGATGCCGACATGGTGTAAGGAAGGTGAAGAAGCCGGTGCGTAATCGTCGGGACGAGGGGAGCTCGGCGCGTGGACGGAGTGCTCGGCGAGGTGGCGTGTGGTCGGCGGGAACACTTTGTTGTCGGGAAGTGTGAGATCGTCGAAAGGAAAATTGTCGGGTAGTGAATTTTTAGAGAAAGAATTTATGTAAGGGAGAAGAAGGTGAATGTTGAAGTGGTGAATGATGAATGGGAGAGATAAATATTTATAGAAGAAGGTGAGCCTTGGTAGGTGAAGGCTTGGTCAATCTAGATCCTCCATTCAAAATCAAATCAAAAGAGGAGATTATGTCTTGGGGAGCAAGTTGGGGATATGTAGGTGAGAAAAAGGGAAAAATGTGCAACACATGGTAGGTGAGCACATAGGCTTGGCACTCTCACCTCGGCATCGGCGCCCTCACCTCGGTATTGGTGCTCTCACCTCGGCATCGGCATCATGGGGTGGTCGGCGTCGCGGACTCGACATCACGGGGTGGTCGGCGTTGTGGTCTGGTCGGCAGCTCGACATCGGCGTGTGTTGGGTCGCCACTCGCGGCAGCTCGGCAACCTATGGCTCGTCACCTCGGCATCGGCAAAAGTGGCAACTCAGCGTCGTGCCAGGACTAGCATCCTCTGCTCGGTGTCGCGGCATGCGAGTAGCTCGGCATCCACGCGAGCTCGGCATATGGGCACACGGATGGCTCGTCAGGTCGGTATGGGGCAGTTCGGTGTTGGCTTCATGGCAGCTCAGCGCTCGACAGGTCGGCGTCTCGGCAGCTTGGTGCTCGGCAGCTCGGCGAGTCGCCTCGGTGGTCGGGAATAGCTCGGTGACATAGCTTCTTGGCTCATTAGATCGGCGCTTCCTAGCTCGGCGTCGCGGTTGGCAGATTGGTGTCTTGGCGTTTTTGGCTCGACAGCTCGTCACGCTCGCGGAAGCTCGGCGTCGCGGCTATTTGGTGTCTCAAAGGCTCGACCGGACAGGACGAAGAGGGGAGCTCGGTATCTCGGCGTTGCGGGTGCTCGACGTCATGGTTGGCTCGGCGTCGCGGGCAGCTCGGTGTCCTCGGCAGCACCCCCAACTAGCTCGGCGTCCTCAGCTCGGCACAAAGCGTCGTGCCACGGCATTTTGCATAAGAGCTCGCGTGATGACAAGGAAGTTTGGAGGAGGTAAACACGGTTATGCGACTGCTCACCACGACATGAATAATAGCTCTATTTCTTAGGCCAAGCTGCGACAGCTAGTCCTGGAAATGGGGGGACTAGATGATACGGCCATAAGTAGCGGTTCATAAAGGACCGGTCATAGGTTGAACTTGGTCACAGCTAGGCATGGTTCAACCAGCTAGACGTAGCCCGACCAGTTAGGCGGAGATTAGCTTGGCGTGAGCTAGGCGGAATACTAAGAGTGATGAGCTAGGCAGGTGTGATCGCTTAGGCAGCTAGGCATCTCAGGTGGCTAGGCATTTCAGTGGCTAGGCACCTCGGCTTCTGAGCCAGAGGGCTTTGCCGAGGGGACCAGGGCCCGGAGGTGGCTTCGTGACCAAGTCATGAAGAGGTTCACAACCTCAAGGACTCACCTAACTAAGTGGTACATACGAAGAAGACTTCTTGCCTCACCAGGAGTCCTCAGCTGCCTCAACTATAAAAGGGGCACATGTTCATTTATTTACACAACACACATATTTAGATACGATTCAATATGACTAGTGTGTAGCCCTTGTTTTGCACGGGTAAACAGGGACAGATTTAGATACATTCTATAGCCCCCCCCAAATTTTTAATTTTGTCACTATATATTCTAGAAAATTTGCTATAATTTTAATCTTTCTTACTACCTAAAATATGTAATACATATTATAAGCATATTGAATTTATACATCTATCGCCTAATTATTACTAATTATTGGTATCGTCTATCAAATAATCCTTTATAATTATATTATATATTTCAAGTAAATTTCCACCATTTTCAAGTGTAATATTTGGTGCTTTTCATTGTATATTGTAGAGCTTAGTTGAACTGAATGTTAGAGATGGGTAAAAAGAAATTATAAATAGAAGAGCATGAGTGGTATGCAATTTCACGGAGTCGGATAAAAAGTTACAAGAACTATTGGTACTGAGTCAATCGTTGATGAGTCTCGTGATTTGAAATAATGTCAAACACAATTTTGCAATATCAAAGCTAGAAAGTTATGTCTTTTGTAGAGCACATTTATTATTTATTTTATCCATTTTATAATACAATTCTATGTATTATATCTATATAAGTGTATGATATATTAAAAAATTATATATTCCGTCTAAGGTGTTATTGGAGTTGAGTCAAGCCGAATACCTCATGCAAACTCGTGTTTGTTTAATAAATGAGTCGTCTCAACTCTACTCATTTAATAAACGAACAAAAAAGTGGGCTCGAGATCGTTTTGTTTAATAAACAAATTTAGTTAATTGTTCAACCTTAGCTCGTTTACATATATTAACGAGATGAGGTCAAACATTCATTGGTCAAATCGATTATGTTCACAAACAATTTATTACGAAAAACAACTTGAGTCCCCCCGAAAAATAAAATCTGGATCCGCCCCTGCGGATAAATAATATTAATAATAATTATGAATAAAAATGAGGATAAATAATATTAACTATAATTATTAATTAACGATGTGAGCAATGTTTTAAATATCATACCGTACCGGCCGGTATTACCGGATACCGGTGGTCCGACCGATACGGTTACATTCAAAATATCATTTTGGCTCAGTTTATACCGGTATTATATCGCAAAATACCAGTTTTACCGGTAAATACCGGCCAAAATACCGGTTTATGCCAATTATTTTAAGAATATATTTTTTAATATATTTTTATTAATCTATTTATATAAATTGAAAGTTCTACACTTAATTTCAATATATTTACATTGTTAATAGATGTTAACTAATTTTAGCACTAATTAAAGTTAGTTTTGTACATTATTTATATTATAATAACAAATTAAATTAATATTTACTGAAATCGGTAAAATAGACGGTAAAACCGGTTGAACAACGTACCGTTGGTTCGTCCAGTATGATTACCAGTACGGTATTCAAAACACTGGATGTGAGGTTGCATGTGATAAAATAATCTATTGTAACAATATAAAATTATCTTGTATAAAAGAACATAAAAAATGTGTGTTTAAAATATTAAATGTGAGAGAAGATTTACATATTATATATAAAATTAATATTGAGATGATAACGTAAATTATTACATAATCTCTGAATGAAAATTTGTGTATAAAATAAATGGAGGCTTAACAATTGCAGATTTTATGCATACGCTTCATTTATCAATTTTATATCATGATTTTAAAATCCCGTTATTAAGATTTTTATTTAAACTTATAAATTATATACAGAGGCTTAACAATTCCATGTTTTATGCATACGCTGCATTTATCTATTTTATATAATGATTTTAAAATCTCGTTATTAAGATTTTTAGTCAAACACGTATCAACAAAGTCTACATTCTTAGGATTTATGATGAATTATGAACAAATGATTTTCTTATAAAAGAAATCCCTAATTTGTTATTGAAAATCAATGCAAACTCATATAGAGTTTTTGTTCTTAACAAACTCCTACCATTCTAATAAATTATATTATTCCAGTTTGAACTTGATTATGAGTTTAAAATTTGTACATGTGGTCATAATATATCAAGTAAACAATCCCTATATTTTTAGAAATCAGTATTTATCTGTTTTTGAAAATCAATGCAAACTGCTTTAATCACTTTTTAATATCAATTTATTAAATAAAAAGAATGAAGCAAATTCGTACCAAATTTTAAAATCTCGTGCTATATTACGACAACAATTTTTCAATATCAAATTAATTAAATAAAGTTCTTTTTTAATTAAATTCAAGTTTTTTTTAATAAAATTCATTTAAGTTTTTTTTTTTTTTTTTTTTTTTTAACTAAAATGAATGATGCAAGCTCGTACCAATTTCCAATTCTCCACAATTTGAATAATGCTAAGTTTCGGGTCTATCATTATGTTTGCGGGCAAATTTTTATGAAAGTTATTAAAAAATTGTTAACATTTGAATTTGAATTAAAAATTTGTATGAAAATAATTAGGAAATTGTTCACAATTGAATTTGAATTAAAGATTTTTTTTCTTGTTTTCCCTATAAGTTTGTTAAGGAAAGCAACCATATTTTATTTAAACTTCTATCCGTTCCTTATTTAGAAATTTAGAAATTTGTTTTGCTTGCAATATTTAGTAAATAGTTATTCTTTTTATATGCAGTTTGAACTTCATTATGATTTTAAAATCCGTACACGTGGTCATAGTATATATCAAGTAAACAATCTCATATTTTTAAAAATCGGTTTTTATCTATTTTTAAAAATCAACGCAAACTGCTTTAATCACTTTTTAATATCAAATTAATTAAATAAAAAGAATGTGGCAAATTCGTACCAAATTTTAAATTCTCGTGCTATATTACGACAACAGTTTTTCAATATCAAATTAATTAAATGAAGTTTTAATAAAATTCATTTAAGTTTGTTTTACTAAAATGAATGATGCAAGCTCGTACCAATTTTCAGTTCTCCACAATTTAAATAAGGACTCCTTAAATTTTGAATAATGCTAAATTTCGTGTCTATCATTATGTTTGCGGGCAAATCTGTATGAAAGTTATTAAAAAATTATTAACATTTGAATTTGAATTAAATATTTGTAGAAAATTATTAGGAAATTGTTAACAATTGAATTTGAATTAAATATTTTTTTTCCTGTTTTCCCTATAAGTTTGTTAAGGAAAGCAACCATATTTTATTTAAACTTCTATCCCTTTCTTATTTAGAAATTTCGAAATTTGTTTTGCTTGCTATATTTAGTAAATAGTTATTCTTTTTATATAAGTATAGATTTGTAATTTCTCCGTTTCCGTCCACTTATATTTTGGCATAGATTTAGTACAATGTTTTTTTTTTTTTAATTGTTATAGTTTTTTTCAGATTTTAATTTGGTACAATAATTTTTATTTTTTATTTTAAATTTCATTCAATTTTCATTTTTATGGCATGTAAAATTGGAACAAAGCTATCGGCACGATTTGTCTAATAATTTTTCTGGTTCTGTCATATGACTTAAAGTCTTAGACTGAAGTCAAACTGCCATCGAAGCCCCATAAACTTCCAAATTGCAGTTTATGTTCTCTGACATCTTATTTTATAAATTCTGAAAGCTATTTCCGAATAAAGGTTCACGCATCCAGATCACCGGTAATCATTCCTTTCCATTATAATACATAATTTTTTTAGATACGATCTTCATCGATTTTGATTGAGGAAAATTACCAATGTTGAATTATAAAATTATTTGAGAGTTATTATTGTGAGATATTGAACATACATATGCTATATGTATTCATATTTTCTGACTTTTGTCTGAGTATTTAATTATTGATACGCATAGTAGGGGATATAAAATTATATAAATTAAATTAATTAAAGGTTATTTAATAAAGTAAAGTATAATTTACTACTCAAACCTGCTAAAAGCTAATACAAATAGTTTTTAAGTAAATAAAATAGTTCGTCTGGTAAACTCGGAGTGCGTACCCAAGAAAATGATTCTTAATTGGTGCCAGTTCATAACCATTTTGGTATTGTGTAATGGTGGAGCCCATTTCCATCATTGTTTAAGGGATGTTTAGTTATAAAATATTTCGATTTTGTTTGGATTTTTTAATTAAGTATGAAAATTGTACTATTGTTAAATTTATATTAAAATAATAATTATTCACTAAAATTGATTTGATATAAAAGTAGCAGAGAGATAATGTGAAGTGATTGTTAGTTTAAATAATGTGAGTGAGTGAATAGTGAATTAATATTTATGTAATGTACAAGAATGATTGGATGGCATAATTAATTTATATTAATAATATTGAAGATAGTGAGTTCGAGTTAAAGTTGACTTATATTTTAATTACAAAAAGTGATTGGTTAAAGATTATTAGAATATTTTGGAAAAATTTGTATTTAGACATCCCCAGTGTGTTTTCATTTAAATTATAAAGGTGTATAATTTTTCAAAAAATATATACGTACATACTGATATTTAATATATTATTAAGAAGCAACATAAATGAAAATATAATATTTTTAATAATTATATAAATATTAATAATTATTCTGGTTGTCTCAAATTTGGGAAGAACTTACGGCATAGAAGTGCAGTGATCTCATGGCCAGGAATCTATGAGGGCATCTCGAATAGACAGGTTTTGAAAGGGTTATAATATCAAGGCTTAATTGTACCTAAAATTTCTACTTTTTGTATAATTGGAAATAAAATTCAACATTTTTATCTTTGCAAATAAATATCAAACAGTTATTACGGTCAGTCCTTGCTGATGTGTCCGATCAGAAATTTTATGCGAAATATAATTAAAATTTGAATATCTTCACAATTGAAACCCTAAAAATGAAAAATATAAATAAAATTTACCCATTCTCCATTGACGAAATTCACAAAACCGTCAATCCTCTCATTTCTATGCCTCACATACACTAAAATCGCCTAAAAATCACCCGAAAATCACCCCATATGTCCAATGTTTAAGAATTTGGGGTGAGCTCATAAATGTATTCAGAATATTTGGGGTGAAATCGATTTATGAGGGTGAAGAATCGCGTCATGGAGAAGAGAAGAATCGTTGCATTTTTTTTTCAATTGGGGGAGAAGAACTCGATTTTTATGAATATTATGGAGCAAAAGACATGGTGATAAAATCCTATTTTTTCAATTGGTACTAAACTTTATGTTTGGTTAATTTGTTCGCATATGATGTGCCAAAAACATGGTGATGAGTTTAAAAGGTTGAGTGTCACACAAGTCTCATTAGTACCACATAAGATTTCTAATCGAACACATCAACAAGGATTGGTCGGAAAGTGGTTTTGGGACAAAATTTGCAACACATAATAAATATTTGATATAAAAAAATTGAGTTTTGTTTGCAATTACACAAAATTTGAGAATTTTATACGCAATTAAACCTAATATCAAACCTCAAAGGTTTGGTATTAAATTCTAACAGCTTTAAGTTTGAAAACTTGGACGCACGTAATATTTTCAGAACGTTTAAAAACTATAAATTATAAAAAAAGAAGAAAAAAAAAATGAGAACAAGTATTGTGCGTGTACCATAAAACTTCATCACGGGTTGCACAAAAAGTAACATGAGAGGGGGCCACACATGTCCCCCTCATTTTTTTTATTTTTTATTTTTTACCTTCCACTTTTTTTGTCTTTTGATTTTCTTTTCTAATATAGNTATAGGCTTTTTTTTTTTGCCAAAACGATAGAGGATATTATATAACAAAAGCGCACAAATGTGCAAATACAAACAGCCCAAGGCTGAAAAGTGGGAGGACAGGTCCGGAGACCGCCTAGAAACCCGGCTAGCAAGAGCTAGAACAGAAACTCAAAACTAAAACAACTAGACACGACCCCCAAGGGGTAATACAACAAAACAACTCAAACAACAAAACAACAACACACGACCCCCACAGGGTAATATCCGAGTGTCGGACCCCCACAGGGTAATAAATTTGACACCCGGATGCACCGAGGCCAACGGCCCAAACCTAAAACACAAACACAAATACAAACAAACACAAACAAGACAGACACAGACACCTAATTACTACACCCTTCCCCGAAGAAAGACGATCCCGAACGAGCAGCAACCGGATCACAGCTTGGCCCCTAGCCAAGGAACAGCTCCCGAAACTGCAATTAAGCCTATACAGAAACCGAACCCCCGCCCCCGAACCAAACCACGAGGCGACCTGCCGCCAACCGAGGGTACAGGCAGTTGAGCCACCCCTAACCGGCACACCCCAAGAGCACCTAACACCACTAGGCTACTCAGGGGTGTCGGACTCCGGCCAAGCCGCAGCTAAGCCAGAGAAAAGGAGCAGCTCGCAGCCACATACTCTACTCCTGCAGCACCATCACAGGCCACCGGAGCCCCACCCCATCCATTGACCACCGCCATCCCTACGCCACCGCATCGGAGGATATCCCCACACCGAGGGGAGGCATCAAGGAACTAACCGCCGAGGACGAGAGACCACCTCCCCCAACCAGAGTCCGCCACCTACACCAGGAACCTGCAAGCCGCCGGGCACCACTCGAGGGAGAAAGAACGGGAATCCCACCCACCAACCGACTTGAGCCAATCCGCCGAATCCACCAAACACAGCCAGAGAAGAGAGAGACCGGCGTCAGGGACAAGCCAGGCAGTCGCGGCGACCGCCGGCCCGGCCTCGCCGACGCCGGAGGAGGTGAATCGATCGAGATTAAGGCGGCGAAAGTTAGGGTAAGATTGGGAAAAAAATCGCAGGAGAGAGAGAGAGAGGAAATCTTTTTACATTCTAATATAGGCTTTGAATGTTAGAATCTTGTGCATCCAGCTATTTTAAATAAATGATGAATCTATATCTATATCTATCTATGTATCTAATAAAAATAACCTTTTTTAAAAAATAGTAGCAAAACAAAAAAGTCAGAATTTAATGCAGCCTATAAATAGTAAGTTTTATTATTTTTCTTATTTTTTTGTTTAAAAAATCATACAAAATTAAATGTTGCATTAAATTTTGGACTTTGTTAATTTTATTATTTAAAAAATCCGGCTAAAATCTATTAGGTTTGCATGTTTTTATTTTTATTTTTTTTTCTTATAAACAACGAACAACATTAAAATTTCGATATCTATATTTATAAAATCTCAATTCAAAATATAAATAAATTTTCAGATCCCGGTCTTTATATTTGTGCTTTTAAATAAAAATATTGAACGTTAAAAATAATCTTTAAATTGCATAATTAATTAATTAATTTTAATTATTTAAAAATTACTATGTTTATTTTTTTATGAATATGCATAAAGTAAAAATAATTAATTCGTCTTCAGATATATAATTTATAATCTTAATATACTATCATTTGACCGGTTTGACCATATCAAATCGATTATTGAACCTAAATATAAATTTTAATATTGAAAATACTTTATTACGTAAATGTGATGTAGTCCAAACTTCAAATAATCATATAAACAATACTTTTATGACAACACGTTAAATGATTTATGAATATTCATATAATATTTTATTAATATTTATGTGAATAAAATAATATTTCATATAATTTTTATTAATGTACAGTAAATATAAGGTTTTCAGAACCGGACCGTCATCGAAACAATCAAGTTATTTTATTAAATCATTTTTGGTTTGTTCGATTTTAATTTATAAATATTTTAATATACATATATATAGTACTTTTTGTAATAAATTTAAATAAAATGTATTACTTAAATATCTAAACAATTTATATATTCAAATGTTTAAACTAATTGATAAACAATTTATCAATCTCTATTTTATTTAAATTTGTAATTTTATTTAAAATAATTTTAAATGTACCAAAATTTATTTAGGAAATCGTATCGTTCGTACCGGTCCACCTAACTGGTGTTGACGGATTCGACAACAAATATTTTATTCAAGCGAACTAGACTGGTTATAAATAGGTTCTCGGTCCATCCGGTCGGATTGTGTCAAACCCAATTTAATTTACAAACAATGGGTAAATCATGATTAATGTCATTTATATATTTAATTTATAATAGAATCGTAATATTGCTTTTCCCTGCATCGCACGGGCCACACACTCGTATGCATTATCATAGTTCCAATTATCAATTTGTTTCTTAATTTAATATGAATTAAATTTATACAAAAATTTATTAATTCCTTTTAAGATTAATTATAAATTTATTGTTACAAATTTCATATGTAAAGTTAGAAAGTGTATCATCAACTTATACACGACCTTGTTGAGCATATTTTGAATGAACATAACTTTTAATAGTAGTATTTGGTAAATTCATATTTGAAATTATTATAAGATTTATGTGCAATAAAATATACCCTTATTATTTCTTTATTCATAATTATAAAGTACATAAAAATATATACTTATAATAATAATAATAATAATAATTTAAAATATACTTTACTGGCTAGCCTGGTTTGCATTTTACAACCATGAAATTGGATGCATTTAATAGGCTGTAAAGATTAACAAACTTTTTATTGTAATTTTTTGCTTGTATTTTTTTATATTATTTACTTATTTATAAATTTTTTTGCGACAACCAGTGTTGTCACCTCAAAAGAAAAAGGCTAAAAAAAATTGGATATGTGTGTCTTGTGATGCACATCTATCTTATAATTATATGATGATTTTTAGCTTTTTTGTTCAAAATTAATATATATGTACTATATAATTAGGTTGAAGAAAAACTCAAGCAAAATACCAAAGAATACCTCTTGTTTTAGCTTGCATGTCAATGGACAGAAACTTAGAATTTTCCAACTTTAATATGCCTTATTCTTCTAAAGATGATAATCCATCTTCTATAAATTCTTGCTATAGTCGAAACATGCCTCTCGCACTCGGCCAATCCCAGAATGCAATAGCAACCCCAATTTAAAAAATTTCCATATCAACTAATACCTTCTTTTCCCAACCAAGCCTCTGAAAAACATTCTCAGTATATGTGGTCAATAACATACAAATATAATATGTTAAACTCATTTGGCATGCGTTTTCAACAAAATAGTATCATGCCAATTAATGTACGTCTGGCCTCCGACCGGCTAAAAATCCGCTCGCCTTCATCTTTCTCGCCGGTAGAACGTCGAGTACCTGTAAAGAACACTCTCACCAGAGAGATTTTCCGGTGAAGAGTCTATGATGCTTAAGTTAATATCCTTCTAAACTCAATTCCCAAGAGTATAGTAATGGAAATGGTCCGTAAATCATAAGGCTCACCCGGATGAGCTGAGGTGGCTGCCGAAAGCTGCCCAGCCTGCTCGGTCGTACAACATACACTGGAGGTGTGTCAGAGACAATTATGCTATATGGACCAATCAGTTCATGCCACGCGTCCTTCGCACGTGGGGGTTTGATTCCTCTAAAATCTCATCGAAGGCTCTTACGTTCGACCAGGTCTAGGTCAATCGACTGACTTCTCCGAGTCTGTGGTCTATCAGACGACCGTTTGGGCTCCAAGTCGGTCTTCGACTAGACCCTTCATGGGTCTGGGACCGACCTATTCTCCCTGTATCGAATCTCTCTTCAGGTTATCTTCCTATTCAGCAGCTCTTGTTCCTGTGATATTCGACCACGGCCACCCCTTTCGCTATTCGTTCGACAAGGGCAGTTCGACTGGTTTGCTAGATTGGTTCAATCGATCAGTTTACTCATTTAGGTATATAATCCCATATCATCTAGTCCCCCCCACTCTGGTCGATTCTGAATGACTCGATCTAAGAGTAGGTTTTTATCCATCCACCAACTGTCACTGTGGTCGCTACTTATCGACCACTTGATAAATGTTCTCTTTCTCTTCGACCATTTTTCCTTTCGACCGCCATTTTGAATTTCAACATTTGAAACCGCCACCTGCCCTGCCAATCGCTTTGCCTGTTAGGCGTCAATCATAACTTCGTAACCCATGCCCCATCGTACTTCGCGCCCATTAAGTGTTTTTTCTTGAGATAGTCGTTGTATCAACAACTTTAATCCAACGGTCACCAAACCAGCACTTGTTCCACTATCCTCTTAATCGAGACCCTTCAATCCGCCTCGATCCAACAGCTAAAACCTAGCTGCCTCTTCACCTTCATTCTCTATAAATACCCCCGACATAACACTTAGAGGGTTTTCCACTTTTGCAAATTTTGTACTCTAATTTGCTAAAGACTTCTTCTTCTTTCGGCAACCAAGTTCTCCCAAGCTTTCGACAACTTTGGATTTTCAGACTTTTCCAGCGACCACTCCATTGTTCATGATGAGTAAGTTCTTCTTTTTTCACTCTTCCTGATTTTTTATTTTGATTTTTCTATTTCAAATTGTTCTCTGAGTTGTCCTCCCAATTCATCTTTGCCCACAATTCCCATATTCTCCTCTTTCCGACAAACCCTGAAAAGTCTTCTTTTTTGATGTTTTCCTCCTTTATTTATTCAAATTCTGCTACTTCCAGTGAAAATGACCATCATTCCGGCTAGGAGTTTGGACCTGAAAATTTTATAGCTTCCTCATCATGATAAAAGACACATAGCCTCAAAAAATCAAACCAAAAGGACGGACCAATCATTCTATACAAATTTTCAAAGAAATATGGCATAAAGAGCATGGTTCTGATCAGGTAGCAACATATTGAATTTAAATCTGAAATTTTGATAAAAAATACCTCATAATAACATGAGACAACCCTCAAAATTTTAGATCAAAATAACATGTGTACAATTTTTAACAAATTTTCAAAGAACCTGAGCATATATAAGCTTTAATTGACATCAAAGGGTTCAATTTGACTCAAACTCGAAATAGGGCTTCAAGAACAGCCTCTAAACACACCAAGAGTTCCAATTTCATAAATTTTACACAAAAGATCATAAATTTAATCATTTACACAATGATTCAAATAGATCTCAACATACTTAGATTCAAACAAATATAAAGGTTGTACTCAAAACTCAGTATTAACACATATATAAAGGAGGGATCAACCATCCATTATCGTACTTCAACGAATCTACATGCAAGGGATCAGATCGAGTAGAGGAGGGTGCGCCTGGGCGGCTATCGCTCGGCTCGGCTCATGCGCGTGCGGTTTGGATCGTGCGGGTTGTTCGCAATCGGCCAGAGGGCAGCGATCGTGCCGGCTGCTCGTGTATCGTCGAAGGGGTTGATGTACCGTTGATGAAGGATGCGGGAGAACTGGTGATGCGAGATGGATGGCAAGCAGCGTGGCTGGCGGGGCTTGCGCTTGCAGTGGCAGCGACTAGGATCGCCGAGAAGACAAGAGTGGGTGGAGGCAATGGGTTTGGGACTTTGTTGCTAGTTTTTCTATCGTGAAAAGAGAGTGTGAGGGAGAGTATAATTGTTTTGAAAATTCTAAGTGAGGGAGAGAGCTCTAGCGTGTAAAATTAAGGCAAAAGAGATGTGGGAAAATCTTCTTTAATGCTTGGAAATCAAGAGATGCAATTATACAATTGAAGTGAATAAGATTTCACTCGGGCTCCTTCAACTCGGACGGCCACCGGACCTGCAAGAACCCAACGGAAGGAGGAGTCCCAAGTCGGGCCTCCGACGCTCAAGTCAGTATCAGTCCACATCCCAAGAGTATAATTATGAATAGAGAGAGAGTGTGTGAGAGAATGGGATACCTTAGCCCCCTTTTATAGGGGGAGTGTACCTTATGGCCCAAGTTGGGCTTGTCCAATATCATCATGCCACATGTCCTAGCCATGTGTAGGCTTATTCTTTAATATATTTCCTTTTTATCCATTAAAATTGGTCTAGTATATAATATTCTATATCATCTAGTCCTCCCACTCTGGTCGAGTAAGAATGACTCGATCCAAGAGTGAAATTCCTCTTCGGGCTGTTTCCGTCAACCTGCCACTGAGGTTATAATTTGAGTAAATTATCGACCACCAAATAGTCATCAAACCTCCAAATGAGCATCGGGACCCCACATGAACACCGAATGACCACTAAGGTCAAAAACCGAAAGACCCGCCACTGGGGTAGAACACCAAAAGCCGAACGACCACTCAGGTCGAAAACCGAGAGACCCGCCACTGGGGTCGAACACCGAAAGCTGATCGACCACTGAGGTCGAAAACCGAGTGACCCGCCACTGGGGTTGAATACCGAGAGACCTCCGCTAAATTACCAACTAAAAAATATTCACCAACTAAATATTTATAAATTACCAACTAAAAAATATCAAATGTTTTAATATATTATTATTAAAAGAATGCACCCTAAATAATAAAATGTTCTTATTGGTCATTTTGCAATGTCAAACAGCTATAAGCTTTCAGCTATGTACCAAACACTTATTTAAAAATCGCTAATGCAATCTGCTGGTCAAATCAGCTAATATAATCTGCTATCCGCTATCCGCTATCCGTTGATACAATTCGCTATCCAATATCCGCTGATCGCCAGACAAGACCTATATCAAGTAAACAATCCCCATATTTTTAGAAATCGGTATTTATCTATTTTTGAAAATCAATGCAAACTGCTAATCACTTTTTAATATCAATTTATTAAATAAAAAGAATGAAGCAAATTCGTACCAAATTTTAAAATCTCGTGCTATATTACGACAATAGTTTTTCAATATCAAATTAATTAAATTAAGTTCTTTTTTTAATTAAATTCAAGTTTTTTTTTTTAATAAAATTCATTGAAGTTTTTTTTTTTTTCCTACTAAAATGAATGATGCAAGCTCGTAGCAATTTCCAATTCTCCACTATTTGAATAAGGACTCCTTAACTTTTGAATAATGCTAAGTTTCGTGTCTATCATTATGTTTGCGGGCAAATTTGTATGAAAGTTATTAAAAAATTGTTAACATTGGAATTTGAATTAAAAATTTGTATGAAAATTATTAGGGAATTGTTAACAATTGAATTTGAATTAAAGATTTTTTTTTTCTTGTTTTCCCTATAAGTTTGTTAAGGAAAGCAACAATATTTTATTTAAACTTCTATCCCTTCCTCATTTAGAAATTTAGAAATTTGTTTTGCTTCCAATATTTAGTAAATAGTTATTCTTTTTCTATGCAGTTTGAACTTCATTACGATTTTAAAATCCGTACACGTGGTCATAGTATATATCAAGTAAACAATCTCATATTTTTAAAAATCAGTTTTTATCTATTTTTAAAAGTCAACGCAAACTGTTTCAATCACTTTTTAATATCAAATTAATTAAATAAAAAGAATGTGGCAAATTCGTACCAAATTTTAAATTCTCGTGCTATATTACGACAGTAGTTTTTCAATATCAAATTAATTAAATGAAGTTTTAATAAAATTCATTTAAGTTTGTTTTACTAAAATGAATGATGCAACCTCGTACCAATTTCCAGTTCTCCACAATTTAAATAAGGACTCCTTAAATTTTGAATAATGCTAAATTTCGTGTCTATCATTATGTTTGCGGGCAAATCTGTATGAAAGTTATTAAAAAATTATTAACATTTGAATTTAAATTAAATATTTGTAGAATATTATTAGGAAATTGTTAACAATTGAATTTGTATTAAATATTTTTTTTCCTATTTTCCCTATAAGTTTGTTAAGGAAAGCAACCATATTTTATTTAAATTTCTATCCCTTTCTTATTTAGAAATTTCGAAATTTGTTTTGTTTGCTATATTTAGTAAATAGTTATTCTTTTTTATATAAGTATAGATTTGTCATTTCTTCGTTTTCGTCCACTAATATTTTTGAATAGATTTAGTACAATGTTTTTTTTTTAATATTGTTACAGTTTTTTTTTTTCAAATTTTAATTTTGGTACAGTAATTTTTATTTTTTATTTTCAATTTCATTCAATTTTTATTTTTATGGCATGTCAAATTGGAACAAAGCTATCGGCACGATTTGTCTAATAATTTTTCTGGTTCTGTCATATGATTTAGAGTCTTAGACTGAAGTCAAACCGCCATCGAAGCCCCATAAACTTCCAAATTGAAGTTTATGTTCTCTAAGGTCTTATTTCATAAATTCTGAAAGCTATTTCCGAATAAAGGTTCACGCATCCGAATCACCGGTAATCATTTCTTTCCATTATAATACGCATAATTTTTTAGATACGATCTTCATCGATTTTGATTGCGGAAAATTACCAATGTTGAATTATAAAATTATTTGAGAGTTATTATTGTGAGATATTGAACATACATATGCTATATGTATTCATATTTTTTGACTTCTGTCTGAGTATTTAATTATTGATACTCATAGTAGGGGATATAAAATTATATAAATTAAATTAATTAAAGGTTATTTAATAAAGTAAAGTATAATTTACTACTCAAACCTGCTAAAAGCTAATACAAATAGTTTTTAAGTAAATAAAATAGTTCGTCTGGTAAACTCGGAGTGCGTACCCAAGAAAAAGATGCTTAATTGGTGCCAATTCATAACCATTTTGGTATTGTGTAATGGTGGACCCCATTTCCATCATTGGTAAATAAAATAGTTCGTCTGGTAAACTCGGAGTGCGTACCCAAGAAAAGATGCTTAATTGGTGCCAATTCATAACCATTTTGGTATTGTGTAATGGTGGACCCCATTTCCATCATTGTTTAAGGGATGTTTAGTTATAAAATATTTCAATTTTGTTTGGATTTTTTAGTTAAGTACAAAAAAATTGTACTAATGTTAAATTTATATTAAAATCCCCTCTATATATAATTTCATAATACGCTGAGCTTACGTGACAAATTCTCATGTTTTGGAATCCTATTTGGCAAAAAATCATGCTTTGGAGTTAGACTTGGATATAAATTAATATTTGCATTAATTGTATTTTAATATCATTTCCTATTATAACCATTGAATTGCAAATATATTTTAAAAGTTGATAACTTTTGTATTTCTTATCGGTTTTACATATATAATATATCAAATTAATCATCTTTGATGAGCTTCGATTTGACATCTATATTGTATATATAAAATAAATAAATTATATTTATCTTTATAATAATAATAAAATTATCTATTAAAATTAATTAGAAAATAAAATTATTTATCAATTAATATTTTTCTTAATATTAAATAAACATATTCTACACTTATGCATATACATATCACCATAATATTTCTATTTACTTAAGATATATATTTTTGTACTTATGTAATAGTAAATTATATCGATATTATTATGATATAAGTAAAAAAATTCAACACAGGTTGACATTTTCATATACATATTGTATATATAAAATAAATAAATTATATTTATATTTATAATAATAATAAAATTATTTATTACAATTAATTAAAAAATAAAATTATTTATCAATTAATATTTTTCATAATATTAAATAAACATATTCTACACTTATGCATATATATATCACCATAATATTTCTATTTACTTAAGATATATATTTTTTTGCTTATGTAATAGTAAATAATATCGTTATTATTATATGATATAAGTAAACAAATTCAACACGGGTTGACATTTTTATTTAATGTACAGGTGTTTACTTATTACGATTAAAAAAATATAATTTGACAATTTAATTAAAACCCAAAGTAGTGTTTTATATAAAATTAAATTATTTTAATTTTTAAAAAATAAAAAAATAATTTTTTTTACAAAAACTTCCTAATTCAACACCCGTGTAATACACGGGCATTGCACTAGTAATAATTATTCATTAAAATTGATTTGATATAAAAGTAGCAGAGAGATAATGTAAAGTGATGGTTGGTTTAAATAATGTGAGTGAGTGAATAGTGAATTAAAATTTACGTAATGTAGAAGAATGATTGGATGGCATAATTAATTTATATTGATAATATTGAAGATAGTGAGTTCGAGTTAAAGTTGACTTATATTTTAATTACAAAAAGTGATTGGTTAAAGATTGTTAGAATATTTTGGAAAAATTTGTATCTAGACATCCCCAGTGTTTTCTCATTTAAATTAGAAAGGTGTATAATTTAAAAAAAAAATATATACGTACATACTGATAATTAATATATTATTAAGAAGCAACATAAATAAAAATATAATATTTTTAATAATTATATAAATATTAATATTTATGCTGGTTGTCTCAAATTTGGGAAGAACTTACGACATAGAAGTGCAGTGATCTCATGGCGAGGAATCTATGAGGGCATCTTGAATAGACAGGTTTTGAAAGGGTTATAATATCAAGGTTTAATTGTACCTAAAATTTCTACTTTTTGTATAATTGAAAATAAAATTCAACATTTTTATCTTTGCAAATAAATATCAAACATTTATTACGGTCAATCCTTGCTGATGTGTCCGATCAAAAATTAATATGCAAAATATAATTAAAATTT